GACTAGTGGTTACCAAAGGGTGGGGAGGGAGGGAGAAGGGGATTCCGGGCATAATAATTAGTGCACATTACGTAGGGAGTCAAGGGGAAGGAAGTATAGCACAGAGAAGGTAGTAAGTAGTGACTCCATAGCATCTTACTATGCTGACAGACAGTGACTGCAATGGCGTCGGGTGGGGAGCTCTTGATAATATGGGTGAATGTAGTAACCACTATGTTGCTCATGTGAAAACTTTATAAGATTGTATATCATACCTTAATAATAAAAGGATAGTCTTTTCAACAACTGGTATTTGAACATTAGATATCCATATGAAAAAAAGTGAACCTCAACCCTACCTCATAACATGTACATAAATTAACTCAAAAGGGAACATACATCTCAATGTAAAGTAAAAACTTCTAAAAATAACTTAGAAAAGTTTAGGTGAAGATCTTTTTAAATAGGATTCAAAAAAACACAAAGTATAGATGAAAAATGTCAATATATTGAAGTTGATGAATTTTTGAATTTCAATACTTTAAAGAAAATCAGAAGGTAATCCAAAGACTGAGAAAAAATATTTGCAAAACATAGATCTTATTATCTAAAATATATAAAGCTCTCTAAGAAATCCTGTCACTTGTGATAATATAGTTAAACCTAGAGGGGAGTAAGCTAAATGAAAGAAGGCAGATAAAGAAAGACAAATACTGCATGTATCCCTTATATTTGGAATCTAAAAAATAAAGCTGAACTCATAGAAACATAAGGTAGAAAAGTTGTTGCCAGGGGTTGTGGGGTGGGAGAACTAGAGAAAGGCTGGTAAAAGGGTGCAAACTTTCAGTTATAAGATCTGAGGACCTAACATATAACATGATGATTATAATTGATAACATGGTATTGTACAACTGAAACATGCTGAGAGAGGGAACATAAATATTCTCACAGACACACAACATAAATATGCGGCATGATAGATGTGTTAACTCGCTGGGGAGAATCCTTTCACAATATATATGAATATCAAATCATCATGCTGTACACCTTAAATCTTACTATTTTATTTGTCAATTATGCCTCAGTAAAGCTGAAAGATAATAGAAACCAGTAATAATAAAGGAATCTAAATTTTAAAAATAAGCAAGATGCTTGAACCAATTGCTTTTCAAAAATTTTTCACCAAATATTTCAATTATTCAAAATTTTTCAAAATATTTGAGTATTTCAAATATTTTTCAAAAATATTTCACCAAATAAGAGATGCAGATAAGGAAATAAGCACATAAAAACATCTCCAAAAATATATATAAAAAGTACATGAAACATTACACAGACATACTGAAATGGAATGGTTAAAATTACGAGGTGTAACCATGTCAAGTGTTTGTAAAAACGTGGCTAACTAGCAGTCACTGCTGCTGTTAAGATCATGCAAAAGTTTTCTGAAAGTTCACATTACACCAATTTGCTTTATAAACGACCTACGTTAGTACCTGTTTTCACTAACCAAAAGAAATCTGAAGAGGATATTTGCCTTTACCAAAAATAAAGTGAAAAACGAAAGTGGCCTTCAACGTTTGTTTTGCAGATGCGCCTGCAGAACCAAGAGCGCCGCACCGGCTCCTCCTCCGCGGGAGCCGCACGAAGCATCTCGGCATCAAGCGCCATAGCTTCGAACTGCGTCTATGAGCATCTGTGCTTTGCCTTGATTTATTCTGTGCATCCATTAGCAAGATGTATCCTAAGGTTTCAGAAAATCCTAAAACATTATGTTCTGGGTCTGGGAACTCTCAAAAAGCTTTCCATATAAATTAATGGTAATTGCTTCTTCACTTTACACTATTTCAACTTACAGAAGTTTTCACAGGAACTCTGCTTTCCGGTAGCAGGGGAACCCTGTATAACCACTTTGGGAAACTGTTCCTTTAAAAGTTAAACATGATCCTATCATTAGACTATGCCAATCCATTTAAGGAATTTACCCAAAAAAAAGTAAACACACATCTGCACAAAGACTTGTACATGAAGTGTTCTCAGCAGTTATTTCTGTAATTGTCAAAAACTGAAAGAAAACAAATGTCTATCAATGGGTGAGTGGATTAACAAATTATGGTATTTCTATACAACAGAGTATTTCTCAGCAATGAAAAGGAACTGATAAAACACAACAAGGATGAAATTCAAAACAATGGCGCTGAGTGAAAGACACCAGTCAAAAGAGTACATACTGTATGACTCCATTCATACAAAATGTTAGCATAGCAACTGCATGGGAACAGCTGGAAGAAGGAATGAATTACAAAGAAGCGTAAGAAACTCTGCAGGTGGGGAATGCAGATGCTTCCAAGTATATGACCTGTCAGGGCCCATTAAATTGATGCTTTTCAAATGCTCTATTTATTGTCTGTCGATTATACCTCAATAAAGCTGTAATATAAGATTGCTGTTAAGGATAAGATATTGTACCTAATAAAAATTCTCTGTTCTGACACAGAATTAATACTTGACAAAAATTAGCTTCTTATGTAACAACTGAAAAGAGGACCCGGGCACCTCATTCGGTGCTCGAAGCACCTAAGACGTACCTTAGCCTCCTCCTCTTGAGCCTTTTTGACGATCGCTTGTAACTGCACCTCCCGCTTGAACTCGGCATGCAGCAGCTTCTCTTCCATCATCCGGCGTCGCTGATCCAGTAGTTCTTCCTTCCACTTCCGGACATCTTTCTCCTGCATAGAGCGAACCATTCTTCATTGATTTCAGCACACCAGTCATTCAACAGAAGAACAAACAGATCAACAGCTTAGGATTACACCGTCTAGAACCTGGAAGGCCCTCAAAAGAGTACGACTAGAGATTCAGGATACAGACTGTGAATCCAGCTGCTCGGGGTCATGACGACCTTGATCGCTTGCTAGCTATACAGACTGGGCGACTTTTTCTAGCCTGTAGCTTAGTTTCCTTATCTATGAAAAGAGAATCATAGTAGGATCTAACTCTTGGACTTGTTTCCAAGATTAAGTCAATGTATGTAAAACAGTGCATTAGACATGCCTCAACAGACATGCTATTATTATACTACACTATGAATACACTTGAAATGAAAATAGTGTATATTTCCTATCCTTATAAATATTAATGTCTCTATAACCCAAATTTAAGGCAAACAAGTAATTTTATACTAGAGATTGAAAATTTGTGAGAAGTCTGAAAACACACTGGCATAAGAAACATTCTCTGCAGGGACAGAGAGAGCTTTGCCTGAAACAAAGACAGATATGATAGCTGCCTTTAATTCCTTAAAACAGTATCAATCATGAGAAGTAAAACACCTGTTCTGTGCTCAGGGCATCAGGTCCAGAACCAATGAGAATAAATTATAGAAAATCAAATGTTGGCTCAACATGAGTAGAGGGAAAAAACATTTCAGTTGAATTTTAGCTACATGATTATGTGTTTAACTGCCTAAGAAGTATAAGACAGAAATTGCACTGGATTAGGAGCTAGAGGACAGGTCTAACTTAATGCCCTGGCTCTGAAAATTATTGGTCATGTCACACTGGAAACAGAACCTAGCCTCAGATTCAGTTTTACATGTGTAAAAGGGGTTCAGTATGTGTTCGACTCTGTGCACCCCACGCAGCTCTCGCAGCGATCAGATGGGCCACACACGTAGAACAGGGATGAAACGAAAACCCATTAGACAAACAGAACGTGGGATTGATCATTAAAATTAACTGAAGAGAAACCTACATTGACAGGAAAATTAAACCAGAGAACCTCTAACATCTTTTACAATTTCAAGAATTGATTATTTTATTTGCATCATTGGAGATTATATTACACAGTGAGAAAATAAACTATATAATTTTATTTGTATTAAAAATACAATAAAAGGGGAAACTGGTTTTATTACAGCATTGCTCTAATGCTGAAAATATTAACTCTTACTCCCCACATGGGGGGTATTAACCCTCTAAACCCACCACATGGAGACTGTTTTTCAAACTTGATGTGATCATTCTAAATGATTAAAATAAAAATAATGACAAATTCTTGACATTCAGGTAAAGAGAAAAATCATGGAATTTCTTTCCTTCCCAGTCAACTTTCCTACTGTACTAAACAGAATTTTATGCTACTTCATTTTTATAAGTGTTCAACTATTTGTTCCAATTATCTCTACCAAATTTAACATACACATTTTAAGTAATCCAAGTAATATTTTTAACCTGTGTATTTTGTAGTCCTTTCCAGCATCAGAAAGCTAACAAAGGAGTTCACCTACACTATAATGTCACACGTCTTTTGTCAGGCTGTTAGGTACTGGCATTACACCACTCCAAACTGGCTACCAATGATCCCAGCCACCTGGTATTCAGACCCTTGGGTGATTTCCTCTCGCACTGTACTAGGATTGTAACCAACAGAATATAGCAAAAGTGATGGTTCATCCTTCCAAGGTCAGGCTATAAAAATTCTGGCAGCTCACTTGTTTTTTTTCTCTCCACCCTTCCCCTTCTTAACACCTCTCCAAATGTTAGATCACTTTCTGTGGAGAAGCCGGTGGCCACATCATGAGGACACCAGGGCTGTGGAAAGGCAAACATGGCAAGGAGCTGAGATCTACAGGCTGAAGAGGACCTGAAGTCTGCCAAAGACCACACGAGTGAGTGAGAAACGGATCTGTCAGCTGCAAACAACTGCTGCCCTTAGCTGACAGCTTGAAAAAGACTGAACAAAAATCACTAGGCAAGCCACACCCTGCCCACAGAAACTGTGAGCTAATTAATAAAAGTGTGTTGCTGTAAGATGCTGTTTTGAGATTGTTACGCACCACACATTAACTGATATAGTTTTCACCTACATCTGCCATATGTAAATATCAGTAAGAATGACGATACAGAGCAATAGTCTTCTTAGCACCATGCTACTTAATGTTTAACATACTTTCTGCATTTAATCCTTGCAACTGGCTAATTATTATAATTGTCATTTTACAGATAAAGAACCTGAAATGCAATATTGTTAAGTACTTGCCCAAGACATCATATCTTGTGGTAAAACCAGGATTTGATCTGGTTGGCTATCTCCAGAGCCCATGTTCTTTCAACTACACCACACTGATCACAATCTCTTCTATAAATTAAATTATTGCCCATTTATTCAAACCTGATCACTTGAGGCTCAAGTGTCCTACCAAACCATTCTACACTTTGCACAAGACTCTCCAAAGAAACCTGCCAATGAAAATGGTAAGACAGCACCTGAAGCTTCAATAACCCATGCCAACCTTACAAAACATAAATTTACGAGTTAGCTTAGGAAAAACAAATTCTTTTTTCTTTTTTTACACATAAATTCTGTAATTTGACTGAAATGCTTTTGTTTCATAGAAAATTTATTTTTATAGTTCTTTTAGCTTCTCTCAGACTAAAAGAAAGACTACAATTGAATTTAAGACTATCATCAATTTAAGGCCATCATAATTACCTAAGAATTAAAAACTCACCCTTTCTAACAATTTCTGAAGCTTTAATGTCTTCTCTTCACGTAACTTTTCTCTTAGCTGCTGTGCTTTCATTTGTTTTTCTTCATGCTTCTTCTTAGATTCTGCAATTGTTCTATTAATACAAACAAATGGACACCAGACAAAAATGTTTAAATGATAGATCCAAAATAAATATAAAAAGCATACTAACATTTGGGGCTAACATTTCAGGAAAACATTATCACTATTCAGTGGATCTGGAGCTGTCCTGAATTATATGGCTTACAATGTTGTGCAGCTCTATTTAACACTCAAAAGTGGCTAGCTTCCCTCCTGTAAAATGTCTCAAAATTTAAAATTTTCCAAGGCCAGACCTTTTACGAGACGGTGAGGAAAGTTTTTCATGCATGTGAATTCCATGGCCTGGAGGTCTAGCAGGTTCCTCTTCTACAATATCACCCCAGGATGTATTTTGGCGCCAAGATTCACGAGCTGTTCAGAAAAAAGAAAAACACTTTGTGTTTGTTTAACTACATAGTTGTATAAAATCAACATTTGAGAACTTTTAAAAAGCATCAGCATTCCCACTCCAAATTGTTTATTTTACAAACTCCATGTAATAAGCTCATCTATTTTATATCCCTCTACCTATACACACTATGCACACACTATGTGCATGCATGCGCACACACACAGACACACACACACACACTCAAATACCTTCATAATCTGCAAGGACATCGTTCCAGTCCATAGACATACCACAGAAAGATACACTCCCACTGCCCATGCTGGCCTAAAATATAATAAGGAAAATGGAAAAACAAATATTTGAACATAATTTTAACCTTAAAAAATGAGCTATATGTGATGTTTTCCTGCCTGCTGCTATTACATTTCATTTAAAACAGTTCAAAACCAGAAAAAACCACCTAGTTCTTAGAGTCACAGTAATCACCAAACAAAAAATACCACAGCCTATACATTTTAAGAGGAAGACAAAACTACTTGTCATTAACAGCAGAGGCAAATCAAATAAATTTAAAAGAAATATACTGGCCTTATGCAACTATTGTGTAAACTCTGAAATATTCACAGCATGTATCATAAGAGTTCAAGATAATTTACTAGACATTAAAATTTAATAGAAAAATACTTGAAACATGTAGTTACTTTCATTGTTTAAGAAATCCCTCTCATCAACATACGTATCTTGACCACTTAGTGACAGCATGTCAATATCTCACTTGCTTTTTATTAGTAGAACAAAAAAGTAAAGTATCTCAGATACTTCTTTAATCCCTATTATAATCTAGTTAATGTTGAGATCTTACTTTCTGACTCAATTTCATGATCTGTAAAATCAGAATAACAACTTCCAACTTGCATTAAGTATCAAACACTTAGTAACAGTAAAGTACTCAAAAGAAATTTGCTAGTTTATTATATAAATCTCAATCACTAAGTGTAACAACAAACATTATTATTAAAGATATTTTAGAAAGTTTTACATGAACTCTAAGTCCTTCTGGCCCTAAGAATTTTATTTTTTAATCTAATTTTTGAATAATTATTTTAAAAATTCTAAAATCTCACAGAAAAATCACTGTCGTTGTCAGTTTCGATGTTAATATCATTGTTTTCTTCAGCTTCAATTTCTCTAGTTAATTGTTCCTCTTCAGCAATAGCACTAGCAATAGCCTCCTCGTTGGCCTTTTCTAGACGATCTGCTAGCTCTTCTTTTTTAGCGAGAACTTCTGCCATGGACTACACAGTTAAAAACAAAAAAAGAATCACAACTTGACTGGAAAGTAATCATTGCTTTATGTTCTAATCACACACTCAACAGTATATATAAAATACCATTGATCTAGTTACAAAACCTGGGGTTCACTAAAGGTGCAACCACTTGCTGACTGCTTGATTTGGAAGCTTCTTAAAACCAAGAACCTATTTTTTATTCTATAAAATGATAAAGTAATTCATGACTTACCTTCTTTCTCAGAATGCTGTGTATGAGAAACTGTGAAGTTATATACATAACAGGCTTGTTATTAATAATAAAGTATGAATTTCACTTGAGTGACAAAATTAAAAAGTTACTATGGATCAAATGTTGTTAAAAAAAAAATACCCCACAGTACAAAAGGAATATAGAAAAAAATTATCCTATAATGGTGATATTTTTTGAGTATATGTCAAATTAAAAATATGCAATAGAAGTAATACAATAGTATCAAACAGAATCATTAATAAATTCTTATGAGAAAAAGATGGTGCTGTAGGAGGTGAGACAGAAACCTCCTCCCAATACAACATAAAATATGGAAATATAGTAAATACAACAAATCCTGAAAGAGCAACAGGAAAGAAGGCTGTGGCAGACTGTCTAGACCTGGGGAAAACAGCAGACCTCAAGGACAAGGGTAAAGTACCAAAGCTGTGACACAGAAGGACCCAAGCCCCTCCCTCACCCCAGCTCACCGTAGGGAGGAAGTGAAACAGAGAAGGGAGGGGATGGAGGCCTGACTGCTGAACACCCAGCCCTGGAGATCTGCTCTGGGAACACAAACCTACAGTGCACAGTGCTCTGGAGATTAGTGGGGTTGAAAAGCTAAGACAGGAAGAATACGTGGAGAGACTGAGGTTCCAGCTGCTTCTGGAAAACACGTATCCACAACTGGCTTCTCTGAGACAAAAAATGGCAGGCAGTCTGAGAGACTTCCTAACAGTGGGAGGGCTGCTAAAGGGGAAGGATTACACAGAGATTGCTGCTCAGGAGAAAGGACAGGTGGGAAAAACTATCTGGGTGCACTCTTGCCAGGAGATAGGGAACTTTCAGTGGGGTCAGGCGCTCCATCCCACTAGCTGGCAATGCACCTACAAGAAACCCACATGTGTACACAACCCACGGCTACTTCCTCCCAGTCAGCACCAGTTCACAAACCAGCTGCCTGCAGCATTGCTCCAGGCCGGACAGGGGAAGGCCCTGCCTGTGGCAGCTGCATGTGTAAAGTATAGAGACATCTCCATGAACACTGGGCCCACTGGCCCCAGCACTGGAGGCAGGAACTTCAGTCAGGAATCAGGAAAGAAGTCTCTCCTACCAACAAACACCAGCGCCTGCTCGCTAGGAGCTCGACAGAGTACAGCTTCTGGGCACTACAGGGCGCCACCCACAAATATGAAACATCAATGGAACCTGGTAAAAACCAAATTCCACAAACACCAGAAAGAGGGCCAAGCGAAACTGAACTCATCAATATTCCTGGAAGAGATTTCAAAATGAAAATCATAAACAGGTGCATTGAGCTACAGGAAAATTTTCAAGAACTCAAATAGGAATTCAAGAATTGGATATAAACTTTAAAAATACATTATCTGAAATGAAACATAGAATGGAGGGATTTAAAAGCAGATAGATAACATAGGAAATGGTCAATGAAATAGAAATTAGAGAACAAGAATTCAAAGAAGCTGAGGCACAGAGAGAAAAAGGGAAGACTAGGGATGAAAGAATATTGAGAGAACTGTGTGACCAATGCAAAAGGAACAATATTTCCATTGTAGGGACACGAAAAGAAGAAGAAAGAGAAAAAGGGATACAAAGTGTCTTTGAAGAGGTAATTGCTGAAAACATCTCCAATCTGGAGGAGACAGTCTCTCAGGCAATGAAGGTGCACAAATCTCCCAACACAAGGGACCCAAGGAAGATGACACAAAGACATGAAATAATAAAAATGGCAAACATCAATGATAAGGACAGAGTATTAAAAGCAGACAGACAGAGAAAAAGTTCACCTACAAAGGAAAATCCACCAGACAATCCTCAGACTTCTCAACAGAAAAACTACAGGCTAGAAGGGAGTGGCATGATATATTTAATGCAATGAACAGAAGGGCCTTGAAACAAGAATACTCTACCTTACAAGATTACCATTTAAATTTGAAGGAGGGATTAAACAATTTCCAGATAAGCAAAAGTTAAGAGAATTTACCTCCTAACAAACTGTCTCTAGAGTGTATTTTGGAGGAAGTGTTCCTAAGGCTAAACAGCTGTCACCAGAGGAAATAAAACCAGAGAAAAGAAAGCAGAACAATTAATTACAATGCAAATGCAAAATTAAATCAACTACCACCAAAGTCTGAAGGGATCGACAAACAGTACAGAATATGACACCTAATATATTACGAATGGAGGAGGGAGAGGGGCTCAAGATGGCAGCATAAGTAGGGCGGAGGAAATCTACTCTCAAAACAATATAGATTTTTAAAAATACAACAAATACAACAACTCCTAAAAGAGAGACCACAAGATACAGTACAACAGTCAGGCTACATCTACATCTGCGAGACTTCACCATCTCACAAACAGGGTAAGATAAAAAGCTGAAACCCAGTGGGACACGACCACTCACCCCACCCCAGCTCACCGGCAGGGGGAAAAGAATCAGAGTGGGGAGGGAGTGGAAGCACAGGACTGCTAAATAACCAGCCCTAGTGACCTGCACAAGGAGCACAGACACACACTGAATGCTGTGCCAGATATTAGAGAAACGGAAAAGTGAACTCCGAGACAGAGACTATGGGCAGGTCACCACAGCTGGCACCGCTGGGACAAAAGAAAAGTGGATGCTTTTTAAAAGTCTTCAGGGGACAAGGACTTAACAGCTGGACAAAACTCCTGGCACACTCAACCTAGCAGGCTACAAATCCTAAGGAACTTCAGGTATCCCAACACCCTGCGGGGTAACACAGCTCCGAAGGCTGACACGGCAATAATCAAAAGGCCATTCATTATCCCTGGCTGGTGCTGCAAGCAAACCGGCAGACCCACCAGAGCTACGGAGCAGCCAGAGAGCAGCCTCACCCACAGGAACCACCCAGAGTCTCCTCAAGGTGAGCAGCTAACCGGCACAGACACAGAGGCTGCTGCTGGTGTGTACCTGCCCAGCACAGGTGGAAGAAGCCAGAGCAAGGTCCAGGGGGCACGAGGGAGCGTCGTTCTCGCAGGAGAACACACCATATGCATCTGACAGTCGTGGGAGGGCTCTAGGATAGCCCAAGGGCTGCCCACCCATGGCAGGTCGGAAGATCGTCCCAGAGACTGCTCCTGTGTGCGGGTGTGCAGCACAGGCAGTGGAAGCCAGAGCAAAGTCCATAAGGTACAAAGGGGCACCATTCTTGGAGAACACACCCAATGTGCCAGCGACCCCCTGCAGTGCTACAGGCCAGCGCGAGGGCAGCCCCGCCGACAGCAGCTCAGAGGATTATCCCAGCGACTGCGCCCAGTGTGTGGGTAACCAGCATAGGCAGCGGAGAAGGGAAAGGTGAACAGCAAGCAGGAAGGGACTTTGTTCTCCCAGCTAGCACACGCTCTACCTGCCTGGGAACACTTCTATTGACATGAAAAGGCAAAAGAATCTGGTCCACTCAAAAATCACTCAGACAACCCACGGGACAGGGGGTGGGGAGATAGATATAACCAATCTTCCTGAAAAAGAACTCAAAATGAAAGTCATGACCATTCTGATGGACCTGCAGAGAAATATGCAAGAGCAAAGGGATGAAGTCTGGAGGGAGATAACAGAAATGAAACGACCTATAGGACTTAAGAGCAGACTGGATGAGGTGCAAGAGACCGTTAATAGAATAGATACCAGAGAACGGGAATACAGAGAAGCAGGGGCAGAGAGAGATGAAAGGATCTCCAGGTATGAAAGAATATTAATAGAATTGTGTGACCAATCCAAACAGAACAATATTTGCATGATAGGGGTACCAGAAGAAGAAGAGAGAGAAAAAGGAAAGGGGTAGAAAGTGTCTTTGAAGAAATGATTGCTGAAGACTTCCCCAAGCTGGGGAAGGAAATAGTCTCTCAGACCACGGAAGCCCACAGATCTCCCAACACAAGGGACCCAAGGAGGAAAATACCAAGACATGAAATAATGAAAATGGCAGAGTTCAAAGACAAGGACAGAGTATTGAAGGCAGCCAGAGAGAGAAACAACATCACCTACAAAGGAAAACCCATGAGCCTATCATCGGACTTCTCAAAGGAAACCTTACAGGCCAGAAGAGAATCACGTGATATATTTAATGCAATGAAACAGAAAGGCCTTAAACCAAGGATACTGTATATCCAGCAGGATGATCATTTAAATTTGAAGGAGGGATTAAACAATTCCCAGACAAGCAAAAGTTAAGGGAATTTGCCTCCAACAACCACCTCTACAGATATGTTAAAGGGAATACTCTAGACAGAAGCACTCCTAAGGCTAAATAGATAACATCAGAGAAAAAAACACATCACAGCAAAAAAAGCAGACCAACGAAATACTAACTAAAGACAAAAAATAAAATCAAATACCACAAAAGCAGTCAAAGGAAACACAAAAGAGAACAGAATAAAACACCTAACAGAAAAAATGGAGGAGGAAGAATAAGAAGGGAGAGAAATAAAGAGTCACCAGACTGTCTTATACTAGCTTAATAAGTGGGTTAAAGTTAAACAGTCAGATACTAAAGAAGCTACCCATGAAACTTTGGTAAACACCAATCCAAAGCCTGCAATGACAATTAGAATGTATCTTTTGATAACCACGTAAATGAAAATGGACTGCATGCACCAAACAAAAAACACAGCATAAAAGAATGGATGAAAAAGCAAGACCAATCAATATGCTGCTTAGAAAAGACAAACCTCAAACCCAAAGACAAGCACAGAATAAAAGTGAAGGGATGGAAAACGAAATTTCATGCATACA